CTCTTCCTGCAAACAAGCCTCAGCCCAGGTACCAGGACACATAGGAGGCCTGGAGAGTGAGGGGCCCCCACGCAGGAGGCCCGGAGGATGAGGGCAGGCCCGAGCACCACAGGGGAGTCTGAGTGGGAGCAGAGAGGGCCTAGTCAGGCGCCGGGACTGTCAGGAAGGGAATAGGGGAGGCGGGGGAGCCCCACTCACGTATTTGGCGAAGAAGGACTTCTGCTCCTGGGGGTTCTTGGCCTTCTGGGCCTGTTCCATCTCCAGGCGCTCAATGAAGGCTGCCGTCTCAGGGCTGGAGCGAGGGGAGAGAAGGAGAAGGGTGAGGCCTGGAGTCCAGGGACCCGGAGACCCTGAGGCCACCAGGAAGGGCCGGGGCAGGTGGCAAGGGCACCACAAAGGCTGTAGAAGCAGGCTCACCCCGGGGCTGTGGCAGGCGGCTGCAGCTGCACCGAGGTGTTGAACAGCTCCAGGTCCACATCTTCCACCTCATGACCCCGGCAGCCCCCGGGGTGCGTCACCACCGACACGCCCACCACGTTGCCAGCCACGTCCACGTGCAGGGTCAGCTGGTCCGAGAGGTGGGACTCCACCAGGGAGCACTGTCGGGGGAGTGGGGTCAGCAGAGGTGGGGAGCCTGCTGCCTGGGCTCCACCCTAACCTCCCCCTGCCCCCCACCACAGGATCCCCAGAGCATCTTTCAAAACCTTCCCATGGCTCCCTGTCACCCTCAGGCACAAGCCCAAGCTCAACCGCCCCCACCCTGGAGTCCTCACAATGCTGTCCCCACAAAAGCACCCGCTACCTGGACCGACCCCTCCAGACCAGGAGGCCTTGGAGGGCAAGGCCAGGTCCGAGTCTCCCAGGCCTCTGCAGGCTCCAGAAATACCGGGGTTCGAATGGTGGAAGCAGGACCAGGGTAGAGGGTAAGGATGAGGGAGAAGGGGGCTTGTCCTCGACACCAACTCACCGCAGGGACAAAGGAGGAGACGTAGCCACCAGCTTCCAGGCCATCCAGGGCCCCAGGTCGCCTCGGGACCCGGACCCGGTACAGGCCGTTCAGGGCTGCCACATCCTGGGGACAGGAGAAGAGGGTGCTGGTCAGAAGGCTGGCACCAGCCCTGGACAGGCTGTGATGCCCACCAGGCCTCCGCGAAGGCCCCTCTCCAGCCCCACCCGCCTCACAGCCCACACTCCCCAGGCTGGCCGACCTGAGTCTGCCCAGGACTCTTCCTGCTGGGGTGGCCCGGCTGGTGGGTGAGGCCAGGAGCAGCTGGGACTGCCCCACCTAGGGGAGAAGCCATGACAAGGAGTGCAGAGCCCAGCCCAGCGACGGAGTGGGTCCTGAGGATGCCTTCCCTGTGCCTGGATCCAGCCACACCTGGCATCCACCCCACGCCTGGATGCACCAGTTACATGCACAATAAATTCTGTTTGGGGGCAGCTGTGACAAGAGAATCATGTGGGCACCAAGCAGGAAGGCTGCTCAGGCAGACGTCGCCGCGTGGCCGCCAGAATGAAGCCTGCACTCCCAGCCTCCCTCACAGCTACATCTGGCCGATGGGGGGAAGTGGGCTGTGCCAGCTTTTACAAGCTTTCTCTAAATGCTGCTGCTCCTTCTGCCCCTCTTTCTCCGGCTCTATCCTGCCTGGAGCCCTGGGGCCTCTCTGCATGACACCTACGGAGGATTGAGCCGGGCCCTGAAACTGTCACAACACAGGGCGACAGAAGTGAGCTCCTGTCCAACCATGGCTATTTTAAGGATCTCTTTCTCCTCACAAGCAAAGCTCGTCTAAGTGGTCATGAAACAGCTCAGCTGAATCTGGAAGAGGAGAGGAGCCGATTGTGTGAAACCTGCGGGGGAAGGGGGTCTGCGGACAGAGGCAGCAGTGTGGGCAAAGGCCATGAGGCAGGACGTTGTGCCTGGCGGCGCCAAGATGAACTGCAATGCCGTTCCACCAGGGGCAGTCATCCAGGACAGAGGCTGAGAGTGGCACGAGGTGCTGGAAGCCCACCTGGGCCTGGAGGGAAGGCTGCGGGGGACCAGCCGGGGGTGGCTGAAGAGACAGCTAGATACCCTCCATCCTCATCCACACCCAGCCCTGAGTGCCCCATCTCACCCGGAGTCGGCCCCGCTCCTCCTCGCTGAGCTGCCGCTGTGACAGGGACAAGGTACCATCCTGCTGGTTCCAAAGCAGTGAGCCCCGCTTCCGGAAGTTGGCACTGTCATCTGTGAGGAGCTCAGGCTCAGAGACGTTCCCCCCCACCCCCCCGCCCATCCTTCAACCCAGGCAAGGGCCAGGAGGTCCAGCTTCAAATTTTGGCCTGCCTCCACCCGAGTGACCAGGTTCCCTCCCCATCTTGGACCCCATTTTCTTTTTTTTTTTGAGACAGAGTCTCGCTCTGTCTCCCAGGCTGGAGTGCAGTGGCCGGATCTCAGCTCACTGCAAGCTCCACCTCCCGGGTTTACGCCATTCTCCTGCCTCAGCCTCCCGAGTAGCTGGGACTACAGGCGCCCGCCACCTCGCCCGGCTAATTTTTTGTATTTTTAGTAGAGACGGGGTTTCACCGTGTTCGCCAGGATGGTCTCGATCTCCTGACCTCGTGATCCGCCCGTCTCGGCCTCCCAAAGTGCTGGGATTACAGGCTTGAGCCACCGCGCCCGGCTACCCCCATTTTCCTATCTGCAAAGTGGGGATACCTCCACCATGTTGTACCTCACAAGGCAACCCAGCAGATGCATGAAGTCCACAGCTCCCAAATCCTGCCTCTGCCTCACCAGGTGACCCAGGGACAGCCATATAACCTCCCTGAGCTTCCCCAACTGCAAAATACGGACGCTGTGGAGTTCAGGAATTCTCAACTACCTGGCTGTGTCAGAAGCAGGGCAGCTGTTCACTGAGCAGATGCCAGGGTCTGCAGAGGGGCACCAGCTCCAGGGTTTGTGCCCTCAGGTTCAGGGCCTCAGACTCGATTACTACACTCTAGGCAACACTGACGTCCAGCTCTGGGAACCTGGACGCCTGCGTCATGGCAATTTAAGTTTGGCTTTGAAGCTGGCTCCTGCTCTGCCACTCACTCACGATGAGACCTTGTGTGGTGCCTATTCTGAGCCCATTTCCTCTTCTGGAAAAGGAGGCTGACACGAATACCTACCACCTCACATGGCTGCTGTGAGGACATGTGAGTTAATACTTGCAAAGCGTGCAACCACTAATGCTGGGCACATGGCAACTGATCGGGAAAGTCGGCTCTGACATTATCACTGCCATGCTGACCTTTCAAAAACTGAGATTTGTCTTACAGGCAAGGGGGCATTTAAAGACAGTGTTTCTCTTCTTTCATGTCCCCTTTTCCCCCAACCTGGGGCAAATCTGTTAGTAAACGGATGTTAGTAAATGTCATATGACGGGAGGCACCCGGACTCCAAGTCTTGACTTCTCAGGGCACCAATTTGTTAAGAGAGGACGTTGCCTGACTCACCGATCTCAAATGAGTGCTCCAGCAGCAGCCCCACCGTGCCGCAGGCCTCGCCCTCTCGGCCTTCCGCCCCTGCCTGCAGAGGACACAGAAGGCCCCAGGTGAGAACCACCCAAGCCCTCAGCATGGCAGTCACCCACAGAGCCCAGGACAGACAGTCTGGGGTGGGCTGAGGGAAGAGCCGTATCTTCAGGTTAATCACTGCTGCTTGCCTCTATTTCACTAGAAACCATCCATTTCATGAATATTCATAATCTGGACTCCCTCACCCCCAGAAAACCAGACCCTACAAACATGCCTAACCTCATTGCCAAAGCAACTACCCAAGGTCAATTCCAAGCCTTGCACCACAAATACTCATGAGTTAAATGACACTCTCCCTCTCCCAACGCTTCTTTTTCATGCTAATATCCAAATGGCCTCCTTATCACCGGACAGCCCAAGAGCCAAGATGCAGCCTGAGTTCAGTCCCTATTAAACACATTTAAGATTCATGCTTTCCTTTTCTCCAATCTCCAAACCTGCATACTCGTGCATATTCAGGAGGTAAAACTCCTCTCCACCTCCTCAAGAGCCCCCTCCCACTCCTTATTTTCTTTTTCTGAGACAGGGTCTCAGTTGCCCAGGCTGGAGTGCAGTGGCACGATCTCAGCTCACTGCAACCTCTGCCTCCCGGATTCAAGCGATTCTCCTGCCTCAGCCTCCCGGGTAGTTGGGATTACAGGCACCTGCCACCACACCTGGCTAATTTTTGTATCTTTAGTAGAGACGGGGTTTCACCATGTTGAGCCAGCTGGTCTTGAACTCCTAACTTCAAGTGGTCCGCTCACCTCGGCTTCCCAAAGTGCTGGGATTACAAGCACGAGCCACCGCGATCGGCCTAATTTTTTTAATTAGTATTTTTTGTAGAGACAGGGCTCGCTATGTTGCCCAGGCTGGTCTTGAACTCCTGACCTCGAGCAATCCTCCCGCCTCGGCCTCCCTAAGCGTTGGGATGACAGAAGAGCCACCGCGCCCGGCTTCACCATTCCTCTTTCATTTTAACCGCCCCGACGTGATTCTCCAAGATTCCACACCCCCAGCCCCGCCCCCTCATACATATTCCCGAGCCAGAGCCTTTCCAACAGGTGCTCTTGTTCTCCCTCCCAGTCGCTGCAACCCGGTGCACTGGCGAGGCCCCTCCTGCGCGTGCGTGACTGAGGCTTGGCTTTCCAGATATCGCCCACCTCTTCCCTCTTAGCCCTGCGCAGCCCCCTTTCGTCTGTAATTCACCTAAAGACCCAAGACCCGCGACATCCGCAGACCGCGCCCGCTATGCACAGCTAAAGAGCACTCACCCCTCGCGCACCAGTCCCGGCCCGGCAGCCGCTGCCCCGGGCTCGACTGGGCGCTGCTACCGCCATCAGCAAGAGCAGGAGCAGCCGGGTCGCGCCAGCGCTGGTTGCCGCCATCTCGGCTCCTTCCCACCAGCGAAGGGACTGCTGAGAGCCAGGAGCCGCGCAGCACGCCGGGAGAAACAGGCTGCATCCTGACGCCTGTGCGCCTGCGCTGCGCCCCAGCGCCTGCGCACTGGCGCCCGTCCGCCCCTGGGGCCTGACATCAGCAGGATGGAGCCGACCCTTTAGCCTGATCTCCAGGATCCGCCCCCTCCAGGGACGTCATCACAAACTGGGAGCCCGCTTCTGTGTGACGCCATAAAACCCGATCCGCATCATGACGTCACAATGCCCTAGCCCAGCTCCCTCATTTTCTCGCTCGGCTCCTTCCTCCGCTCCCGTCCGGCGGGGACATCGCGATGAGGCGGGATCGCGGCGCTAAGCCGGCCCTGGGTGGAGCTGGCAAGGTGGAACCAGGTGGGATGGCAGGTGAGAGACGGAGCCAGGCCTGGAGGGGATGGACCTGGCGAGGGAACCAACTAAAGGCTGGGGCCGGCAATTCGGGGACATCTGATACCCTGTCCTCTGCGCGGAGCTGTGCCGGGCCCTCCCGGCTGGCAGCCAGACACAGCCTCCCGGGATCGAGCCCCAGACTTCGTCCTGCTAAAATGCCTCCTGGTTCCAGCCTCTCCCACGGGCCGTCCCAGACGGCTCCAACGCTACCTCCAGAGCGGCGAATTCGACCAGTTGCGGGACTTCCCCATCTTTGAGAGCAACTTTGTGCAGGTAGGGAGCCCCAGAACCCCCTCATCCCAAGCCTCGGCCTGTCCGTCGACCTTCTGACTTGGAAAGCCCCTGCTTCCCCATAACGTCCATCTCGTGGGATTCCCGACTCCCAACTCCTACGTGACCTCTGACGCCCCATTACCTCTAGTTCTTTAGATTCTTTGTGAACCTCTAACTCCGTTGCCTCAGTTTCCCTAACTTCACACCCATATTATTCTTGACCTTTAATTCCAAGATATCTGGCCCCCAGCCTGATTTTCAACTTACCTAGTTCATGACCTTTTCCCCTACCAAGATTCCTAACTTCTGATCCCTCCCCAGTTCTGCCCCCACATCTGTTCTGCCCCTAACCTCTGATCTCTGGCCCCAGGTGACTCGGTTGGGAGAAGTTGCCAACGAGGTCACCATGGGGGTGGCAGCCTCCAGTCCAGCCCTGGAGCTCCCGGACCTATTGCTTCTGGCCGGCCCTGACAAGGAGAATGGACACCTGCAACTCTTCGGGTAACTGCCTCCACCTCAGCCGAGACCCCCTCCCCCCTCAGCTCCAGGCACCTGAGCCCCCAGCAGACCTCCCCTCACCCAGACCACCCCCAGGGCCAGGAGCTGGTGGTGCTACCAGCCCTCCCTGAGCTGCCGTCTTCATGGGAGAAGAAGGACAGAGCAGCCCTCAGGGGCCAGAAATCAGGGACTAGACAGACCTGAAGGGGACAGTCCTCAGCCATGCCCCAGCAGGGGTCAGGAGAATGACCATTTCTGCAGGGCCTGCTCGTGCCAGATGCCCCTGGGCCATGCATGAGATCTCACCTCTGACCTCATATCTTCATATGGTGGGGTCCCTTAGCCCCATCCTCCAAAGAGCTAAACTGAGGCTCAGAGAGCTGGGAGCCATTTGCCCAGGGTCCCACTGTGGCTCCAGAGTGGGCCAGGATTGGAATGCCAAGCTTGTCACGATTGTGGATCTCACGGTTCTTGAGCCCTCCTGTGCCTCACTCCATACTCTCTTTTACGTTGTATTTTTTCATTGAAAAAGTAATGCAGACTGGGTGCGGTGGCCCACACCTGTAATCCCAGCACTTTGGGAGGCCAAGGCAGGCAGATCACTTGAGGCCAGGAGTTTGAGACCAGCCTGGCCAACATAGCGAAACCCTGTCTCTACCAGAAATACAAAATATTAGCCAGGTGTGGTGGCGGGCGCCGGTAATCCCAGCTACGCAGGAGGTTGAGGCAGGAGAATCGCTTGAACCCGGGAGGTGGAGGTTGCAGTGAGCCGAGACCATGCCACTGCACCATCCTGGATGACAGTGAGTGAGACTCTGTCTCAAAAGAAAAGAAAAGAAAAAAGAAAAGAGAAAAAGAAAAAGTAATGCTAACATACGAGAAAACAAGCACAAAATAGACAGCAGAAGCTGTTCCCTTCTCTCACCGAAGGCTCCTGCTCCAACTCCAGCTACAAACACTGAAATGTTTATGTGCCCATAGTACAGAAACATTCTGCCAGTAGTTTTCACTTGTTGTTGTTGTTGTTGTTGTTGTTGTTGTTTTGAGACAGAGTCTCAACCTCGGCTCACTGCAACCTCTGCCTCCTGGGTTCAAGTGATTCTCCTGCCTCAGCCTCCCGAGTAGCTGGGATTACAGGCACCTGCCACCACACCCGGCTAATTTTTGTATTTTTAGTAGAGACAGGGTTTCGCCATGTTGGCCAGTCTGGTTTCGAATTCCTGACCTCAGGTGATCTTTCTGCCTGGGCCTCCCAAAGTGCTAGGATTACAGGCATGAGCTACCATGCCTGTCCAGCTTTCACTTTTTTGACTGTATCTCACAGTTCATAAAAGAGAGATGCCAGACACAGTGACTCACACCTGTAATCCCAGCACTTTGGGAGGCTGAGGTGGGAGGATTACTTCAGGCTTGGAGTTCAAGACCAGCCTGGGCAACATAGCGAGACCCCCATCTCTACAGAAATCAAAATTACAAAGCTAGCCAGGTGTGGTGGCACACACATGTGATCCTAGCTACTGGGGCTGAGCCAGGAGGATCACCTGAGCCCGGGAGTTCCAGGCTGCAGTGAACTGTGACCACACCACTGCACTCCAGCCTGGGCAATGAAGTGAGACCCGTTCTCAAAGAAAGAAATAAAGGGAAGAAAGAAGAGAGAGAAAAGAAGGGGAAGAAAGTAAGGAGGGAGAAATAGAGGAAGGAGGGAAGGAAGGAAGGACAAACTCATTGTCTCACACAGGCACACATGAAGGTCCACAGTTCTTTCTCTGCACTTCTGAAGTCCAAAAGATTGCTTTTGTAATTTGGTAGCCAAATCAGATTTTGACCTGCATGTATTCAAGATTACTTACAGCATTTATTAATCCCCCCTAAGTTAAAAACCTTTCACAAAGCAGTATTCTGACGCCAGTACAGTACACTGAGATATTTTCTCTTCTACACTATGCCTTTATTTTTGTTTATGTGTTGTAGAGATGGAATCTCACTGTGTTGCCCAGGCTGGTCTTGAACTCCAGGCCTCAAGTGATCCTCCCACCTCAGCCTCCCAAAGCACTAGAATTACAGGCATAAACCACCGTGCCTGGCCTTTATTTATTTATTTATTTATTCATTCATTCGTCCATTCATTCATATTTAATTTTGAGACAGTGTCTCACTCTGTCATCCAGGCTGGAGTGATCACAGCTCTCTGCAGGCTCAAGCGATCCTCCCACCTCAGCTGCCTGACCCTGTCTTTTTTTGTAGAGATAGGGTCTCACCGTGCTGCCCAAGCTGGTCTTGAACCCCTGGGCTCAAGCAATCCTCCTCCCTCAACTTCCCAAAGTGCTGGGACTATACGTATGACCCACCTTGCCCAGCCCCTTTTATTTTAAATGCTAACTGTATTTCACCAGAGATCTCATCACTCACTGAATCATGACCTACAGTTGGAAGAACACCAATGATGACGCTGAGAGTGGCTTTGACCCTCTCATAAGCTCCTTTGGCACCCTAAAACCTCTTCCCAAATGAACACACCACTGAAGTGAGAACATTGAGCTTGCTCTGCAAATTTGGCCTCAGGACTTATCTCCTAGCCCCTCACTTCTGTCTAACCAACTTCAGCCCTGAGCTATTCTGGAGCAGTTTCTGACAGGTATATATACATATAGATACAGAAATATATATACATATACATACACATATATATACATATATATACATATGCACATATATACATACAAATGCATATATACATGTATACATATACATATATACACATATATACATGTATACACACATATATGCATATACATATATACATAATACATGTATATACATATATGCACACATGTATACATATATACAAATACATATATACATACATATGTACATATATACACGCAGACACATATACATATATACATATATATGCACATATACATATATGCACATATATATACATACACACATGCACATATATACATATATACACATATATACACACATATATATACACACGCATATATATACACACATATATATGGATCCACCCTTTCTTTAAAAACAGCAGTAGAGGCTGGGTGTGGTGGCTCACACCTGTAATCCCAGCACTTTGGGAGGCCAAGGTGGGCAGATCACCTGATACCAGGAGTTCGAGACCAGCCTGGCCAACATGGTGAGACCCCGTCTCTACAAAAATACAAAAAATTAACCAGACATGATGATGGCCACCTGTAGTCCCAGCTACTCGGGAGCTAGTCGGGAGGCTGAGGCAGGAGAATCACTTGAGCCTGGGAGTCGGAGGTTGATTTTTGTCCCCCAAATAGAAGAATAACAGCTGACATTTTTTTTTTTTTTTGAGAAAGAATCTTGCACTGTTTCCTGGGCTGAAGTGTAATGGCGCGATCTTGGCTCACTGCAACCTCTGCCTCCCAGATTCAAGCAATTCTCCTGCCTTAGCCTCCTGAGTACCTGGGATTATAGGCACCCACTACCACGCCCGGCTAATTTTTTGTATTTTTAGTAGAGATGGGGTTCCGCCACGTTGGCCAGGCTGGTCTCGAACTCCTGACCTCAGGTGATCCACCCGCCTCGGCCTCCCAAAGTGCTGGGATCACAGGTGTGAGCCACCGCGCCCGGCCCCAGATGGAAATTTCAAGTAGGCAGTTGTATATTTGAATCTGGAGTTTAGGGGAGAGGACTAGTGGGAGACAAAAAGGAGACATGTGGCTGGAAGAAAGTTGGGAATGGACTCAAATTCAAGAGGCAATGAAAGTGGAAAGGGATTCCTGGGGCAGAGGGAGGCATGGCAAGGTGGGGACCCCTGACCCCGATGGTGCAGGAAGACCCGACAGGATCAGAACCTGAGTCTGCCGCTTCCTCCCACCCAGGCTGTTCCCCTTGAAGTTCGTCCAGCTCTTTGTCCACGATGAAAGCCGGTGTCAGCTCGAGGTCAAGTTGAACACCAGCCGAACCTTCTACTTGCGACTGCGCGCCCCCCTCGAGACCCGAGACCGGGAGTTCGGCCAGTGGGTGCGGCTGCTCTACCGCCTGCGCTTCCTCTCCGCCTCCGCCGTGCCCTTCACGCAGGAGCACCAAGTGCTGGAGGATGAAGATGAGGAGGGCGATGACGATGAGGTGGAGGCCCAGAGGGAGTGGAAGGAGGTGAGGAGGGGGGGAAGCGCGGTGGGGCAGCAGAGGGCAGAGGGGAGGCGTCTGAGGACTCCCAGGTCTAAGAGAGGAGAGGGCTGGGGCCTGGACTCCTGGGTCTGAGGGAGGAGGGGCTGGGCCTAGACTCCTGGGTCTGAAGGAGGAAGGGCTGGGCCTGGACTCCTGGGTCTGAGGGAGGAGGGGCTGGGCCTGGACTCCTGGGTCTGAGGGAGGAGGGCTGGGGCCTGGACTCCTGGGTCTGAAGGAGGAGGGGCTGGGCCTGGACTCCTGGGTCTGAGGGAGGAGGGCTGGGGCCTGGACTGCTGGGTCTGAGGGAGGAGGGGCTGGGCCTGGACTCCTGGGTCTGAGGGAGGAGGTGCTGGGGGCCTGGACTCCTGGGTCTGAGGGAGGAGGGGCTGGGCCTGGACTCCTGGGTCTGAGGGCGGAGGGGCTGGGGACTGGACTCCTGGGTCTGAGGGAGGAGGGGCCGGGGGCCCAGACTCCTGGGTCTGAGGGAGGAGGGGCTGGGGCCTGGACTCCTGGGTCTGGAAGTGGAGGTGACCCAGGGATATGGGGGTCTGTGGGTAGAAGCCAGCAGTCTCTCCAGGGCCTTGGCGCCCCTAGCCAAGGAGGCTGTCGTGTTCTACTTGGGAACACACACAGCCACCCACACCCATGCCCCAGCCCCTCTCTCCCTGACCTGCCAGAGTGGGGTCTAGAGAGGGACAACCTGTGTCCCGAAGGAGTGGGGTCAGCCAGGCCCAATGTCCAGTTCTCTGTAGGGCCTTGGGGGTCAAGGTGGAGCAGGGGGTGATGCCAGTTTTAGAAGCTGGGGTCACTGGAATCTGTGCCCACTCTTGAGACACCTGACTTCCCCTGCTATCCCAGTAAGTGCAAAGTCCCTCCCCGCCCCCACTGCCTAACTGCAGGCCAAGGCCTCTGAAACGAGCTCTCTCTCCCCAGCCCCAAGGCGTGGAAGCCAGACTTGACCCCAAGACCTCTGAACTCTGGGGACTCTGAGTCTTCCAGCGTCCTTCAAGGTCACTGAATGACCAGAGATCAAAGTACCTTGCCTCAGGGCCAGGCAGATGAGATATTAAAGTTAATAAAGGTCAACCCCTTAAGAACCAACAAGCAACCATGAGCAGTTTCGCCGTCGTCGCCAAGTCCGCGCAGCTGCCTCGCAGGAGTTTGTCCAGCACAGCTGCCTCCCTCTTCAGTTCACCACGTCTAGCTCTTTGGGCCACTGCCGAGGCCTCGAGGCCGCCACACTGACACAGCTGCCTCAGTAGAGCAGCCTTCTGGGTGTGGCCTGGGTGCGTCTTTGACTTGCTGCCACTGTCATCGCCCCCAGCCTGCACCCTCCCTCCCTCCCAACAGCTCGCTGGGGCCGGCCTCCATATGGGCTTGCGTTCACCTTGGATGCTCTGTGCTTGCAGTAACAACATGGCTGCCTCACTAAAGCAGCTCTTCCAAGAGGCCATCTCACCATGGCCTGTGTGGACGCAGCTGCTCCCATCGCCAACCCCGGGGTCACCAACCCCCTGCAGGAGGAAGACGGAGCTACAGAGGCAAGAAGGACAGACACTCCAGGGTCCAGACAACACTGTTTTGTTCTCAGCAAAAACTCCAGAAGGAACACAGTCCCGGGAGGCTGGGGGCTGGGGTCAGGACTCCACCACCAACTGTCTCGGCAGGTAGGGGATAGGTCTCACTGCGGCACTGCAGGAAAACCAGAAAGCGGGTGAGCCAGGCCCGGGCACGCCTCCTCCTGAAGCCCCAGGCCCCTTTGGCTGCTGTGTCCACATGACCAGCAGGGGCACAGGATGGCAGTCACCATCCTGCCCCATCCCAGGCCACTGTGGCTGGACAACCCAGGGTCACAGCGCGCCTGACTACTGCTATTCTGGATCCCAGATGGGGACGTTCTGAGCTGCTGGCTGTACGTGGTCACTGGAATCCTGAGGCCGGGATTTTTCTGAGCTGATTCAATAGTTAATCAGGGACAGAGCAGAATATCAGAAATTGGGTGGGCTTGGAAGAGCAGTGATCGGGGGTGTTTTTGTTTGGTTTTTGAGACAGAGTCTTACTCTGTTGCACCAGGCTGGAGTGCAGTGGCACAATCTCAGCTCACTGCAGCCTCGGCCTCCCCAGTTCAAGTGATCCTCCTGCCTCAGCCGCCCAGGTAGCTGGGACGACAGGCATGTGCTACCACGCCCGGCTAATTTTTTTTTTTTTTTGTATTTTTAGTAGAGACGGTTTTGCCATGTTGCCCAGGCTGGTGTTGAACTCCCGGGCTCAAGCAACACGCCTGCCTTGGTCTCCCGATGTGCTGGGATTACAGGCGAGAGCCACCGTGCTTGGCCAGAAAGTGTCCTTTCTCAGCCTTTGTTAAGGGTCCCCAGCCACCCTGTCTGCTGGGCTGTCCTCAGAGCCAGGGGAGTCAGAGGTCAGAAGTCACCATCCAGGAGGGACTCTGGAAGTCCACATTGATGTCATCCTGCTCTGAGGGACACCGTTAGTGGCTTCTTTGCTGAGCCTTGACTGGCAGGTGTCTGATGGGCCGGAGCACAGGGTAAAGGAGCAGGGGAATTGTGTTCCAGGAAGAGGGAAGAGCCTGTGCCAAGTCCCTGTGGTGGGAAAGCCTGACCAGTGTAACCGCCAACAGCCCGGTGTGGCTGGGACATCATGTGGGAAGAACCGGGGCAGGTGGGGGCCGGAGGCAGACACACCACTGTGAACACCAGGCGGAGGGGCGCTGGGGTGGTGGGGAGCCCCCAGCAGGCTGCGATCAGGGCTGGGGCAGAGCAGCTCTGGATAGAGAGAGCTCTCTGGGGCCAGTCCAGGGGTGAAGGCGGGTGGCAGGTTGGAGAGACTGGAGACAGGGAGGCGGCTGGGAATGGAATCTGGGAGGAAGAGGATGTAACTTTCGTTGGGGCTGGAGCTCTAGGACTGAGATGAGGGGACGGGGCAGGGAGAGGCAGGGGCAGGTGGGTGAGAGCATAGGGACAGGCTATGGAGGGGAGGCACTTTTGGGAGCTCCCACCGCCCCTGGTCACTTCTGTTATCCATGTTTGCTCTCACTCTGTCAACACATCTACCTGCGGGGGCCCAGGTTCACTGGAGGCCTTGGGGACATTTGCTAAGCCCTTCTCACTCAGCCTCCCTCTTCCTTGTCCGTCAACTCCTTTGGAAAAATCTGATTCCTGCCCAAGCTGGGTCCGGGGCTCCCCCACCCCAACTCCTATGATGCCCTGTGCTGCCTTCAGGACAGCAGCTTCCCAGTCCTCCTCCCAGAGGGCGGGTCTCACTGTCTCCAGATCTCAGTGGTGCTCAGCCCAGGGCCTCTGGCCAGGCTGGCACAGGGCCCGAGCCACGGTCAGCCAGTGTTGGGGACGGCCATGCCCTCACCTCGGACCTCCAGCTTGCACTCAGCCAGCGCCTCGCCCAGCTCGTTGACGGCCAGGCAGGTGTAAGTCCCAGCGTCGAAGGGCGAGGGGCGGCGGATGTTCAGCGTCAGGACCCCCTGGTAATTGGTCATCAGGAACTTGGGATCTTCGCGGATTTCCATCTTGTTCTTCATCCAGACTACCTTCGGCTGTTAAAGAGTCAAAGGAGAGGAGGCCAACTTAGAGAGGGTCCCTGGGCAATGACAAAATGGAGCTCGGGAAGCAGATCTGGGTTCTAGGCTCTGCCACGCTCTTGCCAGATGTCCTGGGGCGAGTCACTTCTCCCTGACCCTCAGTCTCCTATTCTGTAAAAGCAGGTTGATAGTCCCTACTTCACAGGGTAATGGTGCGGTCTTCCCATTGCTCTCAGGACAAAGAGCTCACTGTCATGGCCCACAGGGTCCCACGGTCTTTGATCCCCATTACTTCTCTGCTCCAGCCAAACAGGCTACCTCGCTGTCATTCAAACAGACCAGACAGACGCCCACCTCAGGACCCTGGCACTGGCTGTTCCCTCTTCCATGCTGCCCTTCCCTCCTTTTTTTTTTTTAACCTATCCTTTAGGCACGTCCCTTTGTGGCCCCTAGACTGCAACAGAAATACCTATTTTTACACTCTGCCTGTGTTTCTCTCACACACTTGCCTCCTTTTATAATTGTATTTATTTTGTATATAGAGATGGGTTCCACCATATTGCCCACGCTGGTTTCAAACTCCTGGCCTCAAGCCAACCTCCCACCACGGCTTCCCAAAGTGCTGGGATTGGGATTCCAGGAGTGAGTCACTGTGCCCTGCCAGCCCTTTTGTTTGTTTGTTTTTGTTTTTTGAGATGGAGTTTCACTCTTGTTGCCCAGGCTGGAGTGCAATGGCACAATCTTAGCTCACTGCAACCTTCATCTCCTGGGTTCAAGTGATTCTCCTGCCTCAGCCTCCTGAGTAACTGGGATTACAGGCATGTGCCACCATGCCTGGCTACTTCTTTGTATTTTTAGTAGAGACAGGGTTTCTCCATGTTGGTCAAGCTGGTCTTGAACTCCTGACCTCAGGTGATCCACCCACCTCGGCCTCTCAGAGTGCTGGGATTACAGGTGTGAGCCACTGCGCTCGGCCTTTTTTTTTTTTTTTTTTTTTTTTTGAGACAGAATCTTGCTTTGTTTCCTGGGCTGGAGTGCAGTGGTGCGATCTCGGCTCACTGCAACCTCCACCTCCTGGGTTTAAGCGATTCTCCTGCCTCAGCCTCCCAAGTATCTGGGATTACAGGTACTCACCACCATGCCTGGCTTATTTTTGTATTTTTTTTAGTAGAGATGGGGTTTCACCATGTTGGCCAGGCTGGTCTCAAACTCCTGACCTCAGGTGATCTGCCCGCCTTGGTCTCCCAAAGTGCTGGGATTACGGGCTTGAGCCACCGTGTCTGGCCCAGCCCTTTATAATTTTATATTATTTGTGTGACTCTGGGCAAATGTCAGTCTCCCTCAACATACAGGAAATTTCTTGTTCGAATCACCCAGGTCATTGAAAGCCTCTGAAAATGTTTGTTGAAAGAATAAATGGAGTGAATAAATGAATGAGAGCATGAAAGAGTGCTGTAAATAAGCAAATGGAGTGAAGGAATGAACTGAGTAAAGGATGGATTGTTAGGTGGATAAATGAGCGGAATGAGAGACATGAACGAGTGGAGGTAGTGAATAAAGTACACAGAGATGGAGATGGTGAACCAATGAATCCATGGTATGTCTTAAGGGAACTAAAGCGAAGAACCTACAGCTCAGACCAGAAGCTGGCAAACTGTTCCTATAAAGGGCCAGATGGTGAATATTTCAGGCTTTTTGAGCCCTGTGGTCTCTGGGTCTGGAACATGAGCCACGCACATTTATTTACATTTTGTCTGCAGTAGCTGTAAACAAAACATAACAAATGTGCATGGCCCGTGTTCCAATAAATCTTTATTGATAGAAACAGGTGGCAGGTGGATTTGACCCATGGGCGATGGTTTGCCAACCCCTGGTCTAAACGAGCTCTAGGTTGCAAGTGTCCACACTCCCAAACAGCAGTCGGGAAACGGCTGGACAGGAAGACCCTGGGGAGCCATGGCGGTTCAGGCTGCCCCTGCTCCCAAGGTTTCTTTTTCCACGGGACTGGCATTTGTCCTTGGACAGAGCAAGAGAGACTTAATGGTCCTCTCCTCAAGCTGCCGAGACAAGCTATTACCTGACAGGGGACAAAGAAAAAGGCAAGAGGCCGGGCGCAGTGGCTCTCACACCTGTAATCCCAGCACTTTGGGAGGCCGAGGCAGGTGGATCACCTGAGGTCAACAAAACCCTGTCTCTAGTAAAAATACAAAATTTAGCTTGGCATAGTGGTGCACACCTGTAATCTTAGCTACTCAGGGGGCTGAGACAGGAGAATCGCTTGAACCTGGGAGGCGGTTGCAGTGAGCCAAGATCGTACCACTGCACTCCAGCCTGGTCTCAGAAAAAAAAAAAAAAGGAAGGAAAAAGGCAGGAAGCCAAAGGCAAGGTGTGATTGATCGTCTGAGACTTGGGCTCTGGTCAGAGGAGTTAAAAGAAAGTGGGTGAAAAGCGAGCAAGTCCAGTCTGGGTGTGCTGGCTCACACCTGTAATCCCAGCACTTTGGGAGGCCGAGGCAGGAGAATCACTTGAGCCTAGGAGTTTAAGACCAGCC